CCTGGTTTTTGCATAAATTCGTATTAGTTCCGCGCTCCAATCGACAAATTGATGCACAGCTAGAAGTTGCCGCGTGTGGCAGCACGGTTCTCCGCACGCGACGACACGACTAATGACGATGTGTCTTATCCGCGTTTTTTCTCGACCCTGACAGATGCGATGATATCAGTTGCAGCTGCAGTGAGGTCTTCCAGATTTTCGAGTTGAGCGCCGAAAGTGATCCTATTTGTGGCAATAACGGTCAGAGAAAGGGTCAAATGAAATGCTCTGAATAGTCCATGTTCGACTTTCTTGCAATCTTGGCATGATGTATATAGTTCTTATATTTCTTCTAGCCTTCCAAGATCGAATAACTTTATTGAAGGCCTACGTTTCGGCGTCTTCGCCTTCGTCAGAGCCTGAAATGGTCAAAAAACATCTAGAGACCTGCTCGCTCAAACATTTCAACAATACTCAAGACGATTTCCATACACTAGTAAACCACCCAACGGTATCGATCGAAGGCGGAACTCTGGCTTACCTTGATCTTAGCCGCGTGACGCGGGGACGACCACCCTGTAGAGGCTCTCAAGCGTGGAGTAAGAGTTACTAGTAACCTCCCTCGACCTCTCGATGGGTCAAAACTTGCAGAGGTCGAGAAAAGGCCGCGAGTTCACGCGTTATGACCACACACTCTTCCTTGCGATTCATTTGTGGGTCCCTTTGCTGTGATCCAAAAAGCCTCCAGTGTCTTGGGCGCCGCATCACGCTGATACTCAATGGCGATGCCTGTTTCGCTCTATTGAATGAGCAGTCAGAGAACATCAAGTTCACACGGGAAAAACCCGTGGAGGATTGGCTACCCTTCCTTAATATTCAGGTCCAGATTTCACGGGGGTCAGTCAGGACCAAATGGTACCGGACCAACAAGAACATTCTGGTCCATTATACCTCGGCCCATCCGATAAAAACAAAACAGGCGGTCATTAGAAATATGTTCAGAGTCGCTAACATGGTGTCGTCAGACCAGCAGCTGAAAACAGAATCGAGGGATATGGCCCAGGGCATTGCGTTCTCCAATGGATATTCCAGCTCTGGAGCAGCGCAGCGGGGGTATTCACAAGCCGCGTAGAACAACTCATACAACGAACGCCTAATAAAGTTCCTTCTGCCTTACCGTTTCATTCCGAAGACCTAAGCAGGGCAGTCCGATCGTTATTGGTTCGATGTGATCTGCAGGACGATGTTAGGATTGTGGAAATACCCCCCTGTAATCTTAAACAACAGCTGGTTCGCAAACCGATCCTACGACACCTTATGTGGCACTCCTGACTGCGTGATCTGCCCCTTTGGCAAACCGGGTGACTGCATGAAGTCCGCAGTTATCTACTCTATACACTGCCAGAGCTGTGGGTGCGAGTATATAGGAGAAACAGGGCGCCCCCTTCGAGTACGGATCAAGGAACATCTGGAGGGTCTTAGGAGGTCACAAGCCCATACACCGCTAGGGGTTCACCGTAGTCAACATCATGGAGGCAACGTCATTCGACGTAGCGGTGACCATCTTAGCGCAGGAAGTTGAGATCACGGCGCGCAAGACACTGGAGGCTTTTTGGATCACAGCCAAGGACCCACAAATGAATCGCAAGGAAGAGTGTGTGGTCATAACGCGTGAACTCGCGGCCTTCCTCGACCTCTGCAAGTTTTGACCCACCGAGAGGTCGAGGGAGGTTACTAGTAACTCTTACTCCACGCTTGAGAGCCTCTACAGGGTGGTCGTCCCCGCGTCACGCGGCTAAGATCAAGGTAAGCCAGAGTTCCGCCTTCGATCGATACCGTTGGGTGGTTTACTGGTATATGGAAATCGTCTTGAGTATTGTTGAAATGTTTGAGCGAGCAGGTCTCGAAATGTTTTTTGACCATTTCAGGCTCTGACGAAGGCGAAGACGCCGAAACGTAGGCCTTCAATAAAGTTATTCGATCTTGGAAGGCTAGAAGAAATGATGTGAGTTTCTGAAAAGCCATTTTGAAAATTCAATAGATTCCGAGATCCCACTAAATATACAAGGATATCAGCATTTGGACCCTTTCGAGAGTTGGATAATTCAGAAAATACAGTTTTTATGCCGGAGATGGAGAGGGTGTGGTCACGTACTCCGTCGAAATGATGTAGTATGCGTTCCTCGTGAGATAGTCTTATTCAGAGAAATTGATTTCCTGTCTGCTGTTCTGCATAAAGACACGATTACAAATGTCCCCCTCCCCCTTAAACGGCATTAATCCACTGAAAGCGCACTCGTTGCAAAGTTGAGATAAAGTGGGCAGGGGGGCCCAAGCCTCCTTTGATCTCTGGGGGGTTGTGCACATTTAATGCATTTAGAAGATTAGACAGGCGCAATTCGTCGACGGGGGGCTTGCTTTCCATAGATGTGTCGACCCATCAACCGTTTCTCGAGTTGACACGTTTTAGGATGGCTAGACGATCTTACTTCAGCTTCACAAGAGTTCACAAGTTTTACCAGAGTGAGATTTGTAAACCGGAACTAGGGAAGCAATGATAATACAAAATGCCCCCCCCCCGTCGACAAACAGCGCCGATTAGACAATGTTTATGGAAATGCGAGGGTTCATCAACGCACCGCGAACATCAAATGCTCTTGTACCGTTACATTGCTGATGAAAAGATCATCCTGCTGAACATATGCGCTGATTTTTTTCATATCACCCTCTTCAAGCAAGTAGCTGAAATATAAGGTACATCGTGAGTCAACAGATGACCCAAAATACTACTCGTTTTTTTTTTGACTACTGCAGTATTGCAAGCGCACGGCTTTTTGACTGCACAAAGCTATGTAGAGGCCGCGGAACCAGGCAAAAAGCCATTCCATTGATGGAGAGCACTATGCAGTATGGGGAAGTGGAGTCACACTAGGCAAGGAAATTTCGACAATCGTATAATAATTTGCAAGAATTTTCCCCAAAGAGTAAGTGCCCAAATGCTATATTCTGAAGCACTTCCCCTTTCGCATGCACTTGTCCTTCCAGAAAAGGCTAAAACTGGTTGTTTAGCGCTCAGGTAAACATTGACTAGTTCATGTAATAAATAACCTTGAAGGAAACCAGTCGTCGATGACAAGGCCCATGAAACAGAAAAGAATTGAAAGGACCACAGGAGCCCGTGGAACGAGGAGAGTGAGATGGAAAAGATAAGTGAGGAAGAAATTGTCGCGACTGAGCTGACACGGGAATTGACCATCAGCATTAGCGGGTCTCTTCGCACTGATGCCTCCTCCTTCTAGTTGACAATGAGGCGTAGACTAATGAGGGAAGCCTGAGTTCGCCCACCGGATGAGCGCGGAATGTCCCTTTAACTTACTGGTTGACCGCAATGTCACCGTAAACTCGAAGACCGTCAGTTCTCCTCTGCGTCAAGATATTGAGAAGAGTTGTCTTCCCAGAGCCACTGTAAATGAGATATCATTCATTTTCATTGTTGTTCGCTGCAGATGATGGGAGTTGAAGGGGGTGGGTTTCGCGAAGCGTTAGCCCACTCCTTCTCTCTTTTCACTCGGCGCGAAAAGGTTGTATCCTTTCGATAGAAGATTTCGGTTGTCATCCACCAGTTGGTGTCGTTTACCCAGATCAGCAACCGGTGAAGAACGGGCTGGCGGACCGCAAAACTCAGCCCCTCTGACATGCCCCAGCACCCTAAGCGAACAAGACCATATTTCCTGCGGAAGAAACACCAAACCACTACCAATACTTACCTTGCCCCCATTATGTAGGTCAGCTGTCCAGGGTCAGCGTATCCAGAAACTGAAAGCTCTCATTTTTGCAGTTGGTCCTGAGCACACGGTATAAAAATTAAGCGCTCGAGCAAGAGGCAAGACAACGAAGGGTGAAAGAGGGTGCAGACAAACGAGACCGCTATTTCCCTAGCGCCGCTTGCACTGAGCGTCTCTCACATTTGGTAGGCGTGTAGAGCCCCAAATCGCAAGTCCTTGGCAGGCACGAAATCGAGTGGCGATAGTGGGACATCTTCTACAGTTCCTGGCTTGCCCATCATAAGCACGAAAGAAATCGTACCTACTAGCTCATTGTGGATTGTGAAAGATTACTCTCGCGATCAAGCAGTCTCTGAAAGCCTGCGTGCATTTGGTAACCAGGTCCGCATTCACAGAGAGTGTACCACTTTCATCACACGCACGTGCGAGTCACAGCCATCAGAGACTCGTGACCCTTTACCACTTCAACGTTTTCAGGCTGCGAAACAAAAACTTACACCGCTAGCTACCGCGCGCGTTGCCTGCAACGTCGTACGACGATCTCATGCGCCTGTCACGAGAGCGGTGGCGGGTCTATTTATCAGCATAAGGATAACTCGTACAACTAGGCCGTGTGACTGTCAGGGAGTCTTTTTTTTTTGAGGGCATTCGTGAAGTTCTTTGCCTTCTTCACTGGCGGTTTCACCAGAGAAAGATCCGTTCAGTCTATTCTGCCCTTGGATTGCAGTGTTGCGATGTGGTCCAACGCGCGCGAAATGCGCTCTGCCACGAACTCTTGTCGGCGGCAAAGCACACGTCTCTCATTTTGCCACTTTCCTACAAACAGGACTCTTAGCAATATTGAACTCGCATGGGATACCTATACGTGCAGTTCGGCCAATCTGCTACGCCCACAGTTACGGACTAGAAGAGTATTCTTCAACAGTTGACTACCCACACTACAACACCGCCGTTTGAATCAATTTGAATTTATTAGTCCCTGGTGCGAATGTCGCGCACGTGACTCCTTTGCAATTGCTTTGTCGCCACTCTTGCGGCTTTCCGCATAAATTGTAGTTCATTCTGTTTCTGCACATGTTCATCAATCTTTAGGGCGAAGGTGGTTACAGCGGGGGGGGGACAACTATGCAACGCTGTCGCGCGCGCGATGCCGCACTTTTGCAGCCTGGGAGAGCGCCCTTAAGACGGTACGGCTGTGTAGAATGGTAATCACTCATGTACATAGACGATCAGGAGGTATCAGATGATGGTGCTTACCTTGATTCAGCACCACCTTTACATCGGGAGCATTCTTCCGCCGCCATGGGAGGCACGAAGTTTTTGGTATAACTTCTGCGTAAATATCACGCCATATCACACGTTTTCCATCCGGTGCAACTTCCCTCGTCTGAGAAACAAAGTTTAAAACCCTGCAGGCACAGTCGTATAGCTGACAGGGTTCCGGAATAGCAACATACCTTACTCCTTCCTTCTTTAGATCCCAAACTGCTCGGAAATGATGACTGGAAAAGAATCAAGATTAAGATTACTTTTGCAGAGAAGAAACTCCACGTAAAACAAGCTGTACGCTCACCTATGAGGACGGTCCTTTCCATGAGAGAAGTAATGGGTCAGCAGCTGTAAAACCTTCCACTTCTCCCCATTTCAAGTACATGAAAACGGGGCCGGAGAGCTGTGATACCCGCGTGCAGTCTCTATACTGCGCCCGCGCTATCCTCAAGGGTGTGCCGATGGCAGATTTTCGCAGCGAACAGGCAGTCAGCGGTAGAGAGCAACCAGAAGCGTGAGCAGTGGCGGCGCGGGAGGAGTTGGAAGACGGCTCTTGGGTATCACTACCTTCCAACTCCGTTCCCGTGCACTTTCTAGCGGAGAAGATGGCACGCTACTGCACTGCGGACCCATCCATCCCCATGGCAGGGATCACCGACCACGAAGGTGAATGTACAGATGTCCTTTACAAAGCCTAACGCACCGCCGATGTAGTACCATCGCTACGTTTCTTTTCTGAACTTAGGTTAGCACCGCTACGCGATCGAGATTCGGATGTTGTCGCTGCTGAAGATGGTCGAGACTGAAGAAGAGCCTGTTAGGAAGAACTCCACCCTGAGAACTCAAGGTATTACGTACTGCTAACAAACTCTTCTCGCTCTTCTTTTCCCAGCTCAAACTAGGGGCTCCAGATGACCGAGAGCCAGGTCTCGAAGAAGAAGTTTCCGCCGAAGTTTTCTGCAAAGAAAATGAGTACCCTACACCATATGAGCAAAGCAGACCTAAGACATAAGCCGCGCTTATGTTTCCTTACCGTAGCCAAGACCTACGGTAAGGCTGTGTTTATACTTTGCGGCAGCGTAGCGTAGCGCTTCCAGCGTACGCCAGCGGCAGTGGGGAGAGGATGCATATCGATCTAGCGTTCCCAGCGTCACCAGCGTCACGCTAGCGTACGCCAGCGTTTCTCCAGCGTTTCACCAGCGTTTTGCTAGCGTTTGCAGCGGCAGGGGAGTAGAGACTATGGGAGAGCTGGAGGGTACAAAACACATCGATTGCGCGTCTCTCACTCGCCCTCAGTCTCTACAATACACATCGATTCCGCGTCTCTCACGGCCACATAGTCTCTACTCCCTGCCGCTGCAAGCGCTAGCAAAACGCTGGTGCCGCTGGAGAAACGCTCGAGAAACGCTGGTGAAGCTAGATCGATAGCTATGCTTCCCGTGCCCTCGCTACGCCAGCGTGCCGCTGGTGACGCTGGTGAAGCTAGATCGATATGCATCCTCTCTTCGGCACTGCCGCTGGCGTACGCTGGAAGCGCTACGCTACGCTGCGCTACGCTACGCTACGCTGCCGCAAAGTATAAACGCAGCCTAAGAGCGCAAACAACCACAGTCGTCGAGATGAAGGCTCACAGAGACATGGCCTCCACCAAGCCTGAGCCATGACTAGAGGAAGAGACACAAGTTTCAAGCTGTTATTTACAGGGTGACCAAAAAGTTCTGGCAATTTCGTGTTTGTGCGTTTTTGAATGGCCATTATGGTCTGTTTTCTCTCCGATATGGTTATTTGTATTCCGCAAGCCATTTCGAACTACCGTACGAGTCATCTATCCAATCACTTTCGATTTCTCCTCGCACTGTCTCGAAAAAATCAAAAAGTTGCAATGGTTGAAATACCATCTTCTGGTCGGTGCTTGTTGCTTTGAAGAATGTGCTCGCCACCGACGAGAAAAATTTTCGATCACAACTACCGGAATTGTTGTCTGCTCCTCAGAAAAGGTCAACAGAAGGCAACGGCTGTGAAATCCGTCGGACGCAGACTCTTTCCAGCCTCAGTCACGGTCTGAGGCGGGATCTTGCCACCGCGGAGAACCAGTTTCCCATTTCTTCATCGCAGCGCTATCTCGTAAAGATTATGCTGTCTACTCCCCACAACAACGATGCGTTCTCCGCGATGTAGCTCGATAGCCATGGTGTCCTAGGAGCGGCTCGGATGGACACGTGCTTCAGCAAGACTGGGAGCCAGCACATCCTGCCAAACCCACGAACTGCCGCTTGTGAAGAGCTGCTTCCCGATTTTGGGGCAAGGACGTTTGGCCTCCCAACTAGCATGGTCCGAACCCCATGGATTATTCCATCTGGGTCGAAAAATCTCAGGAACATGCGAAGGGGCTGGGCATACGGTTTTACCACTCGAAAGTTCGCGTTGCTGCGTGTTTTGGGACCAAAACGAAGCAGAAGAATGCGCGACGCACAATTGCGGACACTTTGAAAACACTCACATAAAATGTGTTGAGCTGAAAAGGGCTTTGAACACTTGTTGGAACTTTGTTGTATACGGTCATTAGTACTGATTAGATGAAGACTCCCAGACGTTTAGTTGGCTGATTTCCTTTTTCGAACGGTATTTTTATGCTACCGAAGTATTCCGAAAAATTGCCAGAACTTTTTGGTCACCTGTATTTTGATAAGTGCTGTTAACGCCCAGCTACGCGATGCCGAAAAGCTATCATCACACAGAATGCTGAGTTTATCGGCAAATAGTCGGGACCCACGCGGACGGGATTCGAAACCAGCATCTGCTGCTTACCCGGGGCGTTGCGTTCCTATTACCTACGAGGCACTTTTGACCACTCAGCTCATATCGGCTAACCGGCTCATCACGTTGAACGTGTGAGTGCTGTAAGGCTATGGCACAAATAGCCATTGAGCTGAGTGGTCAAAAGTGGCCTCGGTAGCGTAATAGGGAACGCAACTGCCCGGTAAGCAGAAGATGCGGGTTCGAATCCCGTCCGTGGTCCGACTTTTGCCCATAACTCAGCATTCTTGTGGAAGAGACACAGATGCCAAATGGTCCCGTAAAGGTAAGGGGAACGATGGTTGGGTGCTAAGGTCATTTGGTCATTGGTGGGAGGGGTGAGTGGGGTGTGGCCAAGTCCTGGTGGCATTTCTTCCACCAATGATGTTGGCAGTAACTACCCGCCCCAGACATCGTGCCCACTGCCTTTAGGCACGCTAGCGCCCCTCTTTCCTCTGAAAGGCCTAAACAGCCACATTTATCACCATCCTTAGCCCACAATCATTACAACGTCGCCCAACATTTTGGGAAAGAAGCGAACAAATAGCGCTTAACCTAAATTCGAGCACCAATCTTTTTCGGGGAAGGAAGGTGTGGGACGTAGTGTAAACCCCTATCAGTATACCAGGCTACGCTACAAATCATACAATAATCCAACGAAATAATACCAGTTCAATTTTTAGTGGCCTTGTAGCAGAGAGCGGTTGAGCTTTGGAGCCGTCGAATAGTTGTCCAGCGCGGTAAGAACTAGCTTCCATTTTGCATCTCAGAAGCATTTGATCGCAAGATTGAGCGGCAAGCAAAGTTCTTGGTTTGGCAGCCGCTTCTTCGTGAAACAACTTGTGGTTTCAGGGGAAAAGGTAAAGCTTGGCTGACTCAGAAGGAATACGATCTTCCAGCCGCTGAATTAAGATGCGGTGTACCCTGCCGCTGCGGCTGATTCCTTTGAAGGGCGCACTTCGGCTTGAGAGGGACATTTTACGGTTCTGCTAGTTCATGTTCATTGACAAGTTTCATTTTGGTGAAAGCTATGAAATCTTGGGAACCTGCGCAAGTAAGTCATTTTAATTATAGGAATTTACAGGTCTCCACAAAGTGACCTGTACAGGTTTCGTTGAGAACCATTTGGAGCCCCCATCCAGCCGAACTGCGCCCAAGAAATGTAATTGCGGACCACCGCTCCGTGATACTAGGCCACTTGAAATGAAACTGATATGATTTCGCCGCCTATCATTCCTCTCCCGCCTCCAAAAATAACCGGCGTCTCCTCGAACAAAATTACGATTACCGTAATCCGGGCGAACTACTGCACCAAAGTCAATGAACATATCGGAATAGCGACGAAATTTGTCGCAATGTCAGAAAAGAAAGAGATCTCACGTACCGCGCAGAATTTCTCGTACTTCTCTTGGTATGTTTTGTTTCTGAGCCACCACTCGTGCGCGACGTGGGGGTTGACGCTTTCATGGGTTCATGCACCTGAAAACAAGTTGACTATCTGAGAGAGCCTGTGCAGGAATTTCGGGGCTATTCCAGTAAATTGGAGCGTTT